TGACTTCCCCAGAAAGCTCCTGTAAATTCTGGAAAGCCAAAACCAGACTGTGTTGCAGAGATTCTCTCAGCTCATTTTCCTTTGCGAGCTTTCATTCAATAATCCCAATAAGTTTGTGTTTGCTACCAGTTTTGCAAAAAAAATGTATGTTTAAGCATACACTGATAGCTTTCAAAACTATAAGAAAAAGCAATGGAATGATTTCTGTAAGTCAAAATACTGGTTACCTCTGATGAGGAAGAAATGTTTGGGGGAAAAAACAGGAACAGGTGGCTTCTATGGTACTAATAACATTCTTTTTTCTTTTTTTTTTTTTTTAACATTGGTGGTGGTGGTGAGGAGGAGTGCTAGTGGTATTGGGCTGTCAGAAAAGTCATGATGCATTTTTGCAACGAAAAACATAGAAAAAATACATCATGACTTTTCCGGCAACCCAATATTTATATGATGCTTTAAACTGTATGTATATTTGCACCCATTCTTCTATAAGTATATGTTTTGTAATAAGTTTTTAACACCCTCCCCCAGTAATTGTGGAACTGAGTTTGGTTTATTAACTGGCCTATGATCAGTGCATTATATTTCCTAGAGGTGCTCACTATTTTTTTCTAGTGTATTTTGAAAGTTAATGCAAAATTCAAAAACTTAAACATATACCAGTAGGGTATAAAAGTAAACATGCCATGTCATACTGTCCTGAAATATATGCAAAAGTAATCAAAATGAAATGTGTCCCAGAAGCTATTAAATATTGCAGTAATCTCCAGTTCAGACTCAATAAATTTGAAAACTGAGATAATTCAGATATTGTCTAAGCTAAAGTTGACTTACACCTTGAAAAAAAGAATTTCTTTAACTAAAGCAAATTAGAATGGTGTGAATTGAAGGAGAAATATTTAATGGACATAAATAAAAGATTCCAATGTTCACCTGTAAATATTTAATGGAACTATAAAAAGCCTCTCTAGCTACTAAAAATAAAGACCTCTAATTCAACTTAGAAGTCTGTAAATTTGTTCCACAATTTGAACATTTTATTAATTTAGACATGACTTTCAATATGATTTAATGAGCCTTTGTTATAGTCTAAAATGTAAGCTATGATATCACACTCTTAAAAAGAGTAAAATAAAATAAAATAAAAACAAAGAAAAACAAAAACAAAAATATTAAAAACAATGAAGATGTTTAAATTATTAACTTTTAAACTATTAGGCTTTTGGTTTTTTATTATATCTTAGACACAAATTTATATTCTCTGCTTTACACTGTTAAAGAGTTAATTAATAGATAACTCATCAAGTTGAATAAAGTAAATGGGTTTAGGTACATCTACAACCTCTATTGTTAAGAATTGTACTTGAAACATTTAGGTTAAAAAAAAAGGATAGACTGTGGTCTGGGAGCTGCTAACAATTGCAGCACATTAATCAACTAGCATTATCCAAGTTCAACTATTATAAATTTCCATCTTAGACGTCTTTCAAAAATAAGAATGCAAAAAACTCATAGTTTAACTGGGATATTGTATCTTTTAAATAATTCTATACAATAGTGTGTTAAAGTCGTATGTCTTTGAGGAGATAATAAAAATGTAACATCGCTTAGTAATAGCTCAGATTAAAAGGAAAAAAATTCAAACAGCATATATGTTTCTAAGTTGAAAAGACTGCCCATAAAAGAAGTTCTTACAGTAAATTTGATTTTATTTTGCACATAAAAAATTTACAATTTTTGCACAAATGATCCCTTTAGTGCTCTGTTCAGTAAGAGCATGTTATATTCCTGACTTTATAGTCATAAGAAAAAGACAATCTGAAACAATATGAAAGATCAGCAGTTTTTAATCATTACTAAAAGATTCTGGTGGCAGACATAACACTGTAGCCTTTCTTCATCAAAAACCACACAGCAGTGACAAACTACAACAACAGCACAATTAACAGCTGTGGGGTTCCCAGGCCAGACAATGCAGCTCCTGCCTAGGTCCTCACTGTTACTGACCGTCACGACTGTCCTTGCTTACGAGACTGAATAGATCCACAGAGTTGATATTTTAATTTTGCCACACCATCTAAAACCCCCAAGACAGGAAGAAAGATAGGAGGTTTCAAAAATTCAAAAATTAATGTTTCCTGCTGTACTGCCGAGTTTTTAAGATACTGTGATTCCCAATGCACCATTATGACAAAACAATAATTTAACTGTAACAAAGAATGCCATCAAGTAATAGAAGTGAAACAGAAAAAAAAAAGGGATAGATTTTGTTTTATTTGTAATATCAACAGAAAGTATCAGTGTAAAGAGGTAGTTTTTAATTCCATTTACAATGATACTTAACCACTATGTAGTAAACATAGTACTGCAAATCATAGGGGAGAAAATCATTCTAGCAATTGATAGTCAGAATTAATCTTAAAGTAACTCCTACTATCATCTGTAGGTTCAGAAGCTTCAAAATACATTTACTATTCATAATACAAAAGTAGAGCATCTCTCTCCACCTTGCTACTTTGTATCAACCCCCTCAACAAGAATATCAATACACCAGAGATACTGAATTAGATTTAATACTTTTTCAAATAGTGAAATAATTATGCTTAAATTTTAAATAGCAAGCTTAAAAAAGAACATATTATTTATACTGGTCACTGAAGACCAAGCATTAAAACTAAATTGTAATAAGCAGTATTGTATAGCATTAGAAAGATCATTACTCTGGTAGTCTAAAAGACTTAAATTTGTAATTTCCATTCTTGGTATCTGATTCTAGATCTAAGAAAATGTGATCAAATATTAGCTTTTGGGGGATTGTGCTAAAGTCCCCAAAATTTAACTAATTATAAATCTCTTAATTGATTTTTTAAAAACAAATTATAGATAAAACATAATACAGTACTATCCTGTCAATTTAACAGTTTATTCAAATTCTAACCTAGTCAAAATAACTGTATATCCCCAAGAAACTAGCCAGTATAACTTTTTTAATAGGCTGTTTTATTTTTTCTTCCCAATTCAAATTCTCAATAGAAACTGTCCATTTAAAGGTTAAACACTGAAAACTTATTCAACAAACATTTACTGAGCACCTACTATGTACAAGGCACATGGGATATAGAGATAATACCATATCATTCCTTGAAGAATGTCAACACAATCTAAGGTGACAAAGACATAAATTTAAATAGAAAGTGGTAGGGTTCATAATCAAAATATATAAAAGCAGAGACATAGCAGAAAGGGAGTGACACCTTCAAAAGTCAAATTTAAGTCAATAAACAGCCAATTAAGGATGGCATTGTAATATACAGTTGGCCCTTTGTATCTGCAAGTTCCATATCCACAGATTCAAACAACCTTGGATTTAAAATATTCAGAAAAAAATGTTCCACTATTGCTGAGGTGTACTATGTAATTAGGTCTACAATGATTGCCTCTGTACTGAACATGTACAGACTTTTTTTCTTGTCATCATTCCTAAACAATACAGTATAACAACTATTTTCATAGCATTTACATTGTATTAGGTATTATAAGTAATCTCTAGAGACAATTTAAAGTATATTGGATGATGTGTGTAGTTTATTGCAAATATTACGCCATTTTACATAAGGGACTTGAGCATCCAGATTTTGGCAATCTTGAAGGGTTCTGGAACCAATCCCCAAATGATACTGAGGGACCACTGTGCACTGGCAACATGAGGGAATGATTAATTCATTCTTTAAGATAATTTTCTAAGAAAATATTAGAACCCTAATAACTCTCTCTTACTGAAAACTGGCCATTAGGAGTCAAGAAACACTGCAATGTTACAATTCAAAGTAGGATTTTAAAAAAAGAGGAGGGTCCACTCTGCCTAGTAACATAGTAACACCTTTCACAAGCATATGAGGGCCTCATTTTCACCTGGTTGCCTTACTACATATTAATACCTAGATTAAGAAGTGTATTCACCTTGAAGGGAAAACAGGATTTCCCCTATTATGACAGTTATGATTGACAGGGGCTGCCCACAAGGCTATATTGAGAATGATGCTGAAACTGAATCCAGATTCAGAAGAATGACTGATAAGCAATGTCTGCTATGAGTAGGAAAGGGGGGAAATGAAGGGTTATGTACTTTGTATTTGCCATCTTTAATATCCTGAATTTTCTCTTAGAAAAATTATGTCGTATTTGCATAGGATACAAAAAAAAAGTTTAACTAATTTTAATATTAAAGGCAACAAAGAGCAGAAAGAAAACCAATTAAATGCACCTAAGCCATCCAACAAAAAAAAAACACAAAAAAAAAAAAGTCAACAGCCAGCCAATCAATTAAGGTACAGGATTACAGTAAACACTGTTTAGGGAATCTACCCAGGCCATCAGCCATTCCTTCTTTTCTGAGAAACATTCCCTGATCCAGGAGGCTGGGACCCCACTCCCCCCTGCCACATTAGGATCCCTGAGTGAATCCTAATCCAGTGTGGGATAATGAAGTTTCTCTCTTGAGAACTGAGAACTAGGATTCACAAACAGCCAGTTTCATTTTTATATATAGAGAACTGCAGCATGCAAACTATGGTGGTCATGTGCTACCATTCAGACAGAGAAGCAGAGAAACTACTCGGTCTGCAGAGAGATGCGTAATGAAAACCTAGAGCCAGGGAAATAAGAATACTTTCTGGATTCCCGAGAATCTTCCTGTTCCTAAATTCCCAGCTATATCCTCCTTCACCTGGATTCTTAGCTCCCTTTTCTTTAAGATAGTTTGAACTCATTTCTGTTATTAATAGCCAATGCGTATTAATTAAAGAAAGATAATAGGGGTTGTGAAAGGGTGAAAGAAAATAATCCTAAAATAGAGAAGTTAAAAAAAAAAAAGAAAAAATAAATAAATAGAAAAAAATCAAATTACTTCTCAGTCGTACATTAAAATTATGGTAGAAATTAATTCCTACAGTTTTGTACCCTCTTCTTAAAGAGTTTATATGATAAACATAAAAAAACCTGACCTTTGTTTCTTCTGTCCTCACTGCATCCAGCAGATAATGCAGAAGTTCCTGACTGTCCTGTTGTTGAAAACTTTTAAATCGAGGGGCCCTGATTTAAAAACAAAATAGGAAAGAAAAAGAGAACAATCATTTCATCAACAATATATTACTATTATTAAAAATCACTTTAAAATAACCTATAGTCACAGACTCAATTTACTTCTTTTTCTACTAAGTTCAATGTGATGATTACTGGTCCAATTAGGATGAGATCTTAAGTGCACTGAGAACAATACTGCTACCATTTATTGGGCAGCTATTACATGCCAAGCACATATGTTAACCTTTACATATGTTAAGTCACATAATCCTCAAACAAGCTTGGGATGTACTATTTTCTCCAGCTCATATATGAGGGTGCCAAGGGATTACTTAAATAATTTGCAAGGCCACACAGCAAGCAAAAACAAACAAACAAAAAAACAATATTCAAACCCAAGCTACTGTGATTTATTATCTTCCTACCTTAAATAACCAAAAGAAAAGCAAATGGTTATTTATATTAAAATAAAGAACTATAAACTGATGTCTCTGTGAATATATTTAAGGATCTGACAGTTAGATTTCCTGTGTATTATTATAATTAAAGGATCAGGTGCTATTCATAGAGACATTAACACAGAAAATATTTAGGTGATTTCATTAACTTTAAAAATCAATATTCCTGGCAATGTTCTCCAATGCTTAATGAACATTTTTGTCTTAAATGCAAATAAGTTTCTAAATTTAGAAACTGCTCTGATCTAAAAAGAAGAGTTTTGTCAACACAAAATTATAAGACTATCTTACATAGTACAACACAAGTTTAAAATTGTCTCATTATGGTATAGTACAAAACATACCTCAATTTGATATACACAACAGTGCTGTTAAGAAATTCATAATTAATATGAAATTCATTTTACACTTGAGAAAACTGATGAACAAGGTGAGTGCCACTGACACCTAAATCCAGGCATTCTGATTCTCGAGCTCAGAACTTTAAGCATTATTCCTTATTATCTCACAATAAAAATTCATCTTAGTAATGCATTAACATGAGGCCCTGATGCTAAAAGTCTATCTGAACCAGTAGTGAATATAGCCTGTAAAAGCAACCATCATTTCAGTTACTCTTCACTTTTTCAAAGAAGTAGCAAACAGCAGCATGATGTTGAGAACACTTTCATTTACTCCCTTGATGGTGTTTCCCTTTCTGCATGCGGTGGATAGTGTCCACCTCCAAGATCAGAGATGAGGACAGAAACCAAGATACACACAAATTCTAATCCTATTTGAGCCTGCACAGGCTGGAATCCATGAAAGGCAGAAATTGCACAACACTACACTTGTGCTGTAGGTATCAACAAAGGGCAGCAGAGTGGAAGACGACTGGAGGAAAATACTTCAGAGATTCTCACCAGCCAGGTGGTGCGTGCGTAAAAAGAGAGTTATGGCTTTCAAAGCAGACACAAAGAAGGAAATCGGTCCTGAACAACGGAAGTCGGTCCACCATGTATCTGCCTAGAGCTTTGTCTCAACCATGCACAAAGCACTTACTACCTTCTACACCACTGAAAAAAATTTAATAAGCCTGGATTTTTTCTTTCTTCCTTCACCTAGGACTGGGGGAAAAAAAGCGCATGACTTACAAAATCTCTAATGGAGCCTATATGAGCTACAAATACCAAAAGAGATCTTCAAGTTTAAAGAATAAAAAGAGAAAAATCACCAAATAGAGGAAAAGATTCACCCTATTCAAAATAAGAGAAACACTGTATATTCACAGGAAATGTGCCTTAGTAAAAGTGTTACTGGGGGAAAGGGGAGGGAGGTTTTTAAAACCTCAAATTGTAAGAGGAAAATGTACTCGTATGCACACTCATTTGGAACAAGACAGAATTTGTGGAGATGTCTTCTGGGTGAAGATGAATCAGTCCATTCATAATCCAGAAACTCTCTCCATTTCAAACATAAATATAAAAAGAGAAAACAAAACAAGGTTTAAGTGGGATTTAATACAAAACAAAAAAATCTCACAGAGTAAAACTAGAACACAAAATAGTAGAGAAAATAATAAACTTGATGGGCTCTGGGCCTGAAAAAGCTCAGCCCTGAGGGGTAAAGAAAACTGAAAGCTTTTTACCTCAGACAGGGACAGAGCCAGGCTCACTGTTTAAGGGTAGGGTGATCTTCCCAAGAGCCTGAAAGGGAGCCTTTAGGCAAATGTAGACAAAAGCTACTACAGGACACAGCATAGGGACCTGAAGCTGAGCCAAGCCTGCCATAAACTTGTCTCACATCCCTAAAACTGTAAACATTGAGAGACCTGGATCTCCAAGGCCAGCCTGGAGGGCACCGGTGAGGCTATCTTAAAGTTGAAAATTTTTAGGCAGTGAGGAAAAGGATATCAGAAAGGGAAGCAGCAATAGGGAGGAAGAGAAGGTGATGAGAGTGGCAGGGAAATAAGAAGTTAGAGAAAATGGGGAAAAGCAAAGATGGGTGAGGACAAACAAAAAAAATCTACTCCCAAAGTAGCCTACAAACCAGTATAAAACGCATTTTTTTAAAAATCTGATGTTAAAAAATCAACAACTGAAACGAATGTACTTCACTCCAAATAAATTTTATAGAACTGTCCCAAAGATGTTACAATATGTTGAAAATGTCCAAAAACATAAAGGCATAACTACCAATGAAAGCCTAGATATTAAGAAAATTTAGAAAAAATTAAATAAGAATGTGTAGATACTGATAAGATAGCCAATTAAAAATACTAGAAATAAAAATAAAACCACAGATGTAAAAATACAAAAGACAAGATAAATGTTAAACTACATAGCTGAAGGGTAAATTAGTAAATTAGAATGTTGAAGAACATACCAAAATATACTACAGTATACTGTACTTTCATTCTATCTTCAGAACTTGGTGCACTCCTTAAGGTTCATGACACACCACAGAATATTCTTAAGGTAAATCTAACAAAATATGTGCAGGATTTGCAGGCTGAGAACCACAAAACTTTGATGAGATAAATCAAAGAGCTAAACAACTGAAAAGGTATGTCATACTCATGTATTGGAAGACTCAACATTAAGATGTCAGTTCTCTCCAAATTGATCTATATATTCAATGCAATCCCAATTCTAAAATTCATATAAAAAAGCAAAGGACCTAGCTAGAATCATTCAAAAAAAGAAGAAAGCTCGAGGACTCACATGACCCAATTCCAAGACTTACTATCTTACTATGAAGCAACAGTAATCAAGACAGTGCGGTACTCAGGTAAGGTTGGATCAACGTAACAGAACAGGGTCCAAAAATAGACCCAACAAATACGACTTAAATCTTCCCTTTTTTTTTAAAGGTGAGGACTGTCTGTATATATTTCTTATTATATCACAATATCACAATATTTATTTATTGAATGAATAAATTTTTGGCTCTATTTGGTTGGAGACAAGATTGACCCAAAGTCTTCCGTGAATGCGGGAACAGTTCAGGAGGTCAGTTAATGCCATGTCAGGAAAGCGTAGGAAATAATACAACAGTATAATGGGAGGACATATGTTTCAAAGATGTGGCAGTTTTATTCAAGGGTGGAGCAGTAATCACAATGTAAGATAAACAGTCATAAGAATGAACCTGAACTATTTAATTATAGTTATTTTATTAGGGCATAGGATTATATATTTTAGAAAAATTTACATGAAATTATTAAAGTTATTTAAGGTTTAAAGTTCACCAGATCTTTTAAAAATTGCTTTTCGTAATATGTGTCTCTTTTTAAAGTAAACACAATAAAGCAAAAGAAAATGCAATTTTTCAATGTTTTCCAATTTTTGACCCAGTAATTCTATTTATTCTATAGAAGTACTTTCACAAGTGCAATAAAATGTATACACACACACACATATATACACACATGTAAAATCAAATAAGTTATATCCACATATACCATATGGAAGACGTACAAAATATATTAAACAAAACAAGCAAGTTGCAGACAATTTCTACGTATGTGTGTATATGCATAATCACTTTCGAAAAGAATGAAAAACAGGTAATACTATAATAGTTTGAATTTTTATCTATGAGCACCTACTATTTAAAAAAAATTTTTTAATTTTACAAGTCTTTACAAAACCAGAGAAAAGTGATACAAAGTTAGTTTTGGTAGAGTCAAAAACAAATTTCTAACGGACATAATGTCCTAAAAACTTTAACTTTATGAAGCACCATGTATCTGAGACTTTTCTGGGCTTTTTTATTCTTCAGATTTTGAAACAACAGCATTACCCAAGCAAATAAAACATATAATAAACCTTCTATATTTAGGGCTACATTTAAAATACCATCACACATCATGTTAAGTGAAATAAGCCAGTCACAGAAAGACAAATACTGCATGATTCCATTTACATGAGGAATCTAAAATAGTCCAAATCATAGAATCAAAGACTGCAATGGTGGTTACAAGGGGCTGGGGGCAGGGGGAAACAAGGAGTTACTAATCAACAGCTATAAAGCTTCAGTCAAACAAGATAAATAAGCTCTAGAGATCTGCTATAAAACACTGTACCTACAGTCAACAATACTGTATTATATACTTAAAATGTTTTTAAGAGGATGGAGCTCATATTGTGTTCCTTATACAATAAGAATTTTTTAAAAAAGAAATTAACATTGGTACAATACTATGAGGTAAAATATAATAAAACACAATACCATGGCACAGATAATGAGCTTAAATTAAAATTTTAAATATTGTAGATATACAAAAATGCAAGTTCATATTTAAAGAATTTTGTTTCTACATATTTTAGTTTATTGTGGACTGGACTAGTTTTTGAGCTCCATGACAAGGTTCATTTTTAATACAGTATATGCTGTGTACCTGGATTCTAGCAAGTACCGACACAAAGTAAGCTCCCAATTTTCTAGATGATGGAATAAATGAATATATTAAAGTTAAGGCAGAACCTTTATGGTATGTATTTATTTCTAGCAAAACGAGGATTTTGTTTTTAAATATACAGTAATATCTTCAGAAATTCATTTCAACTCTATTTGCCTCAAAGCTTATCTTTTAAAATAAAAAAACTAAGTGAGATGATCTATTATAGCACCTTTTAGATTTTATAATTCTATAATTTTCTTACTTTATGGGATTACATCATGGCTTCTGAGTCAGGACAGAACTCAATTTGAATCCTGGCTTTGTCACTATGAAACGAGGTAAGCTACTCAACTTCTATGAGTCTCAGTTCCCTTATCTATGAAATAGGGATAAATACTTCTTCAGAGTATTATGAGATATAATTTACAAAAAGCACAGAGCTGCAACTAAACAAATGTTAATTCTTTCTCTTGGTAGTCGAGGCAATAATAGCAAGGTGATAGTAAGAGTAAAATTACTCATATTAAATGATAAATACAATAGTATTTTGTAACTCATGATTATTTAATATTAAGAATGTACATGCACCCACTTCTGACAAAGCTGATTGAAAAGAACTTTAGGAGAAAGCGGTCCTTTTTCGGTTTCCTTCATGCTGTGAAGAAACAGGAACAAGGCTGAGGTCAATGGTCCAGGGCTTGAAAGTTCCACCATTAATGGATCCTTTAAAAACATGATCAACTCTATGTTAGAAATGTATACTATTTAAAATCTAAGAGTTATATTTTGTTTAAATGATGACAAGTAATAAATTGCCTCAACTGTATTAAAAACTTTATTACCTCATATATAAAATGAATATACAAAAATGGAATTAAATGCCTTATCTTGAAAAACACAGGTATTCTCATATCCTATGCCCTTTATGTAATAAAACTATTAGCTTAAGAATGAAATCACCAACTTAGTTGTAACTGTCCCTTAATGTGCTCTCCTATAAGTAAAATCATTCATCTACTTGATATTTGTACATCTTCACAAATAATCACAAATTATATTTATTAGCAAAACTCCATACCCTTTTTTCTCCCAAATATTTTACTATTAAATACGAATGAGAAATTATGTCACAAAACTAGTATACCACCTGCCTCTTTTAAAGGAGAGAGACATAAAGCCTGACAAAAGCAGATAAAATTGTGTAAAGGATCAAAATACTTCATTCTAGAATTTTTCCTCCACCAAGTTTTATTTTCTAAAATGTTATCTTCACCAGTAATCCCCTCACCTACAGGCAATGAATAAAAAGCATATCCCAAATATAATCCTTCAACATTATAGAATGTTATCTTCTAGGACAAACTATTGAATATGTTGTCTCATTCATGCATTCATAAAATACATGTTACATATGTATTTCATACCAACTATCCTTAAAAATCCACCACCTGGCTAAAAGTACAGAAAGGACAGCTTCTGAATATCAAAAAGTGCTTTCTGCCATGTTAAGTAAATTGAAAGTTACTTCGAGGGTTAAAAGTTAAATCTAAGGCAGTTTCAAAGTTCAAGCACTAAGGCGTAGTATCTGCTACTCCCAAATCAAGCATTTTTAGACAAAGTAAAAAACCTTTAGAATTGAGTAAATAACCTTAGTTTTTAAAAGTACACTTAAATTTTGAAAACAAAAGTAAGTTTGGTGGTGAGAATGCAATATGGATGAATCTCACAAACATGTTCACAGAAAGAAGGCAAATGCAAATGAGTACATATTGCATGATTTCACTTATACATAATATTAAAACAGGCAAGACGAATCTGTCCTGCCTGTTAGAAACCAGGTCAGGGCTTTCCCTGTCTGGTAGGTAGTGAAAGGAAGGCAGCCGGAAAGGGGCTTCCTGCTGCTGATACTGTTCTGTGTCTTGAGAAAAGTGTTGGTTAATTTCAGTTCAGTGGGTTCACTTTGTGACAATCCATCATCTATACAATTAGGATGTACACTTCTCTGTATGAATGCTTTAATAAAACGTTTTTACAAAGTAAGCATACTGCTGATAGGCATACAAATATTAACAAGCTGAATCCAGCAATCCAAAAGAATAATAATACATCATAATTAAGTGGGGTTTGTCCTAGGAATACAAGATAGGTTTGAAAATCAATCAGTGTAATTTGCCACATTAACAGAGAATCAAGAAGATAAAACATGACAATCTCAATAGATGCAGGAAAAGCATTTGACAAAATTCAATACCCCTTCATGAAGAAAGTCTCAAAAAACTAGGAATAGAAGGAAATGTCCTCAATCTTACAAAGAACACCTATGAAAAACCTATAGTTAACTTCATTCTTAATAATAGCGAAAGACTGTTTTTATCCTCATTTGGGGATTAAGGCAAAGATGTCTACTCTCAGGGCTTCTATTCAACATATTACTGGTGGTTCAAGCCAGCACAATAAGGTACGGAAAAGAAACAAAAGGCATACAGATTACAAAGCACAAAGTAAAACTGGTGATTGAAAGTAGTGATCTATACTGATAGTCCCACAGCTCAGGTAAACTGTACATCCTAAAAACCAAAGATCTAGATTGAAATTTTCCCTCTTAAAATGACACAAACCTAAAGTGATCAGCTATAATATCTAACTGCCATATACTACTGTTTTTTGTTTTTGTTTTTAAACATCACCCATGGATTTTATTTGTCACCGTGAAAAGTCTGAATTTTAAACAGGTTCTTGGACTGGGGGCTCACATCCATCAGCCTGCTCAACTGTAGCACCTGTCTCACCCCCAGTGGCTTTTCCAGAACTGCTACCCTCACCATGAAGCCCCATGAGGTTTCCCAATTCAAACATAGGCTTCTTCAGCATTTTTACTTTTCTAACAAAGACATCATGGAGCGGATGAATACATTGGCAAGCCTTTTCTGTGTCTTTTCCAGTGCTATCTGGAATCAATTTATTGA